AATTCCACTATTAATGCAAACATGTTCCTTTCAAATTCATTGAAATCTACCACTTTCAAATTAAATTGTTTCGAACTAGCATAACGATATACTCCTTTTTGTAGCTCAGGTTTACAATGAAACTACGAAAAGGATTATAAAGACCAGGATAAAAGAACACAAAAGCCAATGCCGCCTAAGACACACAAAAATTGCCTCGATCTGAAACAGATACGGTGGCAAACAGATTAATAAAGAGCAATTAAAATTAATTATATCAAGTATTCTCACCTTAACTAACTGTAGACTGTAATGTTCCAAAGTTTGCAGGTGTGAAAAGCAAACCAAGCCCAGGAATAATGCCAATGCAGAAAATTCCCTATTCCAGTGGAATTCAATAAATATCCAGTTGTTCTAACTCATCAGTTCAAAACTAACTGCATAATGATGCAAAGCGAAGACGAAAACAGCAACTCAAGAATATAGTTCACCAAAGACCACACCCATGTAGACAATGGTTGTTTCAGTACGACCAAAATGAACTTCAACTCCCTCTCATTTGTTGAACGATCTGTAGATATGGGCAAAAAACATATTAATTACACGATTAATTAAGGAAGAGATCAAACACACTTAAAAACACGCATCAAAAACCAAGTATAACAGCGGAACTATAAAATGGTGACACGCGTCAAGTTTACATGACAGACTAAATATGACATTTAAATGAGAACTAATCATAGATGCGCATAGCATTAATTTATAATGTAGACCATAGACAATTATTAAAACTCCACAGATGCTCAAGTCAATTGAAACTGTAAACAGTAGATAAACGTTATACGACATACCATAGATGCTACAGACTATATAGATATTTAAATTACTATACATACGCCACAACCTCAATCTATACTCCGGCCAATAGATAACAGTTTAAAAGAAATGGCACTATAGATTAATAAAGAACAATTAAAATTAATTATATCAAATATTCTTACCTTAATTAACTGTAGACTGTAATGTTCCAAAGTTTGCAGGAGTGAAAAGCAAACCAAGCCCAGGAATAATGCCAATGCAGAAAATTCCTTATTCCAGTGGAATTCAAATAAATATCCAGTTGCTATTCACTCATCAGTTCAAAAGTAACTGCATAATGATGCAAAGCGAAGACGAAAACAGCAAATCAAGAATATAGTTCACCAAAGACCACACCCATGTAGACAATGGTTGTTTCAGTACGACCAAAATGAATTTCAACTCCCTCTCATTTGTTAAACAATCTGTAGAAATGGGGAAAAAAGATATTAATCACACTATTAAACAAGGAAAAGATCAAACACCCTTAAAACCACGCATCAAAAACGAAATATAACAGCTGAACTATAAAATGGTGACACGCGTCAAGTTTACATGACAGACTAAACATGACATAAATGTGAACTAATCATAGATGCACATAGCATTAATTTATAATGTAGACAATAGATTATTAAAACTCCACAGATGGACAAGTCAATTTAAACTGTAAACAGTAGACAAACGTTTAAATACATACCATAGATATTTAAAATACTATACATACGCCATAACTTCAATCTATACTTTGGCCAATAGATAAGAGTTTAAAAGAAATGTCACCATAGATTAATAAAGAGCAATTAAAATTAATTATATCAAGTATTCTCATCTTAATTAAGTGTAGACTGTAATGTTCCAATGTTTGCAGGTGTGAAAAGCAAACCAAATGCAGGAGTAATGCCAATGCAGAAAATTTCTTATTTCATTGGAATTCAAATAAATATCCAGTTGCTCTCACTCATCAGTTCAAAACTAACTGCATAATGATGATGAAACCTAAGACGAAAACAGCAAATCAAGAATGCAGTTTCCAAAGACCACACCCATGTAGACAATGTTTGTTTCAGTAAGACCAAACTGAACTTCAACTCCCTCTCATTTGTTGAACGATCTGTAGAAATGGGCAAAAAAAACACATTAATCACACTATTAATTAAGGAAGAGATCAAACACGCACCAAAAACCAAGCAAAACAGCTGAAATATAAAATGGTGACGAGTGCCAAGTTTACACGACAGACTAAATTTGACATATAGATGTGAAACAATCATAGACGCACATAACATTAATTTGTAATGTGACAATACATAAACGTTAAACGATATACCATGGGTGATGTGGACTATAGATATTTAAAATACTATACATACGCCACAACATCAATCTATACTCTGGCCAATTGATAACAATTTAAAAGAAATGCCACTATAGATTAATAAAGAGCAAGTGATATTAATTACGTCTTGTTTTCTCACCTTGACTACTTGTAGAACGTAGCGTTCCAAAGTCTACCAGTATCATGAGCAGAACAAAACAAATCTAGGAGGGATATCACTGCAGACAATTTCTTGTTTCAGTGGCTTCCAAATTAATTTCCATTTGCCTCCCATTCTCAGGGCCAAAACTAACTGCATAATGTTGCAAGATAAAAACATGAAGTAGCACCAATTCCTTCTAATTTGTTATGACAATCTACAGAAACGGGCAAAAGAAGTAAACAATTACCACTTTTAAAGCAAGTATGTTAAGCTGAAATGTTTAAAAGTTGTCAATTGAGGCAAGTTACAAATGTCTAAGAAATTGAAGTTTCTGGGAGCTCACTTACTATTTTTAGTTGATACTGTTACTTACCAGTTCATTGTCATAAATCCTTTCTTCAGCAACAGCACACTGTCTCCGTTCCCAATGGATAAATGGGGTTTTCATGCTTTTTTTAGGAGCATAGGCACAGCTACTTTCTGGAGCGATTGACGACTGAGACCCCATAATTTAACAGAATCTGGAATTCATCCAACATTCCTGTAAAACGAAACAGTATTTTAGCAACTTAGTAAATAACATGCATAATACATGGTTGAACTAATGTAAATATCATAGACGCACGATAATGTAAATTTATACTGTGGAGAATAGATAAATGTCATCACAGCTTAATAAATAGGTATTAATTTTGATTATGTTATGTAGTTTTTTCCAGTGTGGCGATCAAATAACTACAAAACTATATGTTTTTAGTAACGTCTTAGTTTATTTAATCATCTTCAGATTGAAAAAATTTTGTTTTTTACTTATAGTTCTACTAATTAGGTGTTATACATTTGTTTGTAAAATATAAATATAATTAATAGTCAAACAACATACATTTTGGAGTGTTATTGCTTGTACACAGATATTAACTAATTTTTAAACATTCTATCATGTTGAACAACTGCATATTAGTTCTGAATGTTTAGGTAAAGCAGTTACCCTCCATCTGGTTTATGGTGTTTGACCATTCATTTACATTTTTGGGCTTTTCTATATATACAATTGAACTCCTATTTAAACATTCTATCATGTTGAACAACTGCATACTTGTTCTGAATGTTTAGGTAAAGCAGTTACCCTCCATCTGGTTTATGGTGTTTGACCATTCATTTACATTTTTGGGCTTTTCTATATATACAATTGAACTCCTATCAACATATATTGTTAATGTTGTATCTGTTCTGTTATTATTATTNGCAGACAATTTCTTGTTTCAGTGGCTTCCAAATTAATTTCAATTTGCCTCCCATTCTCAGGGCCAAAACTTACTGCATAATGTTGCAAGATGAAAACATCAAAAGCATCGGTTGTTTCAGTAGCACCAATTCCTTCTAATTTGTTACGACAATCTATTGAAACGGGCAAAAAAAGTAATCAATTACCACTTTTAAAGCAAGTATGTTATGCTGAAATGTTGTTTAAAAGTTGTCTATTGAGGCAAGTTACAAATGTCTAAGAAATTGAAGTTTCTGGGAGCTCACTTACTATTTTTAATTGATACTGTTACTTACCAGTTCATTGTCATAAATCCTTTCTTCAGCAACAGCACACTGTCTCCGTTCTCAATGGAAAAATGGCGTTTTCATGCTTTTTTTAGGACCATAGGCACAGCCACTTGATGACTGAGACAACCAATGCCCCAAAAGCAACGGTTGTTTCTACAGCATCAAAATTAACTGCAATTTTTCTTCTCATTTGTTCGTTAGACAATCTATAGAAACGGACAAGAAAAAGTAATTAATTACCACTTTCTAAAACACATTGTTTAAAAGTTGTCTATTGAAGCAAGTTACAAATGTCTAAGAGATACGAAGTTTCTGGAATCTCATTTACTATGTCTAATTGATAGTTATTTACAAATTTACTGTCATGAATCCTTCCTACAGCAACAGCACACTGTCTTCATTCCCAATGGAAAAAAGGCACTTCCATGCTTTCTTTAGGACTTTAAGTACACATTTATTTTGTGGAGCAAATGAGGACTGATACAACGAATGCTCCTTAATTTAATGGCATCTGGAGTTTTCTAGTGTTCCTATAAAATGAAATCAATGAAAAAGTATTCAAATACAATTTCTTTAGCTTCCCTAGTTAATGTTCAACCCTTTTTTTGTTAATATCAATTAATACCCTACATATATAATATAGTATGTATGCTCACCTTAATTAACTATAAGTCTCCAAGATGATAACTTAACAGATAAAACACCATAGGAGACGACTTGCTTTTTCAGTAGCATCAAAAATAAACTTCAATCTTCTCTCTCATTTATCTTTGATGGAATCTGTAGAAATAACAAATTAACTATTGTATGAAGTAAATATATAATGAAATAGAATAAAAATACAAAAAAGCAAGTAAAATTGTAAAATTCTTACTTTTAAAATGGCGATGAGCCGTTTTGGGACTAGACCATAGATAATAGATACACAAAGGGCTATTCACAGAACTATCCACTGATCCTTTATGAATTATCACCATAGATTCACATTTTATAATCCATAGATACGCTATAATCATTGAACTCCAACCATAGCATACAGGCTTCGCTTATATTTCAATGATTATAATCGAGTCGTGTGAACTGGTATCCAACATAAATAATTCTCTGATTTAAATTTTACGATTATATTATGCGTCGTTTGCGGGTTCTACATATGTAAGTAACATAATTGTGTGTCTATTGGTTTTGCTACAAAAAAAGCAAAATTGTTTCGGGTGCAGGTGGAGTCCAATTTCGATTTATTCAAAAACTCCTGAATATATCATAATTTAGTTGATGCCACTAGATTGCGCGTCATTTGAGCTTGAGAACTGAGAAATTATGGTAAACGGAATTAACTTTTATATTAATTATTAGTATTCTTCAACTC